GGTTATATCTGATTTATCTCTCTCTCTCTCTGTCTCTCGCACACACATACAGATTTAATTGATTTCTTTTAAAAATTACATTTACTGCTTTTAAAATATGAGACACCAATGTTTCAGGAGTTTAAGATACAGAACAGGACACATGCTTATTCGATAACTGTTTTATTTTCTATTTGGGTTTATGTATTTGCTTTGTTGTTTAAGATTAACAGTTTTTTTCCAAGGCATTGTTAGATGCCAGTGTTTCCTGTCATAGCTATGCAAAGATTTGATTTAAAAAACAGTACCATAACTATTAAACTATTTCTTGTCGTGGTTTTAAATCTGTATTTAACCTCAGAATGACCTCAAAGTAAAAAGAGGTGCTAAAGTCTGATTTTGTGGTGGCTGTGCTTTAAAATGAAATTATTATAATCTTAATTCAAGTGATGAAGGATTATGAAAGTCTGACAATAATCAGTGTTGAGTCCTACTGTAAGGTTAACCCTGCTGCTTTAAATGTTTGAAAATGATTAACAATGGAAAACATTATAAATTGAGCAAAGTTGAAAAATTGAAAAGCCCTTTTATTTTATTTACAGCTTTGATTAATCATTTTTTGCAGTGTATGAATGGTTTGTGTGGTGATGTAGTATGAGGGCTCCTGTGTTTGATCTCATGTTGTTTTGTTACCTTATGCATATTATTGGTGTCAGACGTGGCGTGCCGTTCACCTACAGGTCATAAGAGGCATGTGCATAAAACATGAGAAGCAAGCCAGAGAACTGAACGAGCGTCAAGTAGCTTTTGAGGTGTAATGACTTCTTGTTCTTGTTCAACAAGTTCAGCCGATATAATTAAGTCGCTGTTTTTTAATAAAAAAATCTTTCCATCTGGGATCAGTATTCTGATGTTTTTTCAGTCTGTCAAAACAGTAAAAAGTTCTAAATATAGCTAAATACCTTATTGACGCAAATTATCAACAGTAAAATCACACTGTTATGAAGTACTGAAACAAACAAGCTGGCTCGTAAATGTAGGGCAGCACCAGTCAGCCCACTGGCACCACACACATCCCACAGTCTGACACATGAAAGTACCTTCAGCTCAGTTACAACAGAACCACAGGACAGCAACTTCATCAGCAGTTCAGTCTGCAATAACCATAACAGCCACACCACAGTAATTTTCACATTTCATTGATAACAAATGCGCTGCCAGAAATATGCCAAATGGGACGCCTTTTTCATAAGCTCTCGAGCTCTTCTGCGTTTCTCAGACAGACAGCAGTGGAGCCATTTGTAACCATTATTAAAGTCATATTTCACAGCTTTGCCTGTAAATCACCCTGAAATGTTTCAAATTAGTTGGATTACTGTTTTACTTTGCTGTTACTGCTGCAGTGCGTGCTAGATGGCTCTAATGTGTCAGAGGGTGGTTTGCAGGGTGGGCCGGGGAAACAAGCATCGTGTTTCGTGGTGGGACAAAAATGTGCCATAGCAAATGACTGTAAGCAGAGCGGGCACTCCATGTGTTGTTGGCATAATATATGGTGAATCCTCAAAACATGAGAAGCAGTAAAATCATGAAAAGTTTAGCCCTGACTGTGACACATCTGTAAAAATGAGATAAAGTATTATATGAGTGCAACGTTACACCTGAAAATATCCCTAAAAACACTGACCAGCATTCAAGGGACATCGTTGTCTGTTTTAATGTTTCTTGTCTTATGGAAAGAGAAGAAATAATTGTGGGACTAAAGTTCTGAAATAAACATCTGAAAAAAAAAGGTACCACAGGAGTGCAACGTTAAACCTTTAAATATCCATTAACATTGGCCTGTTGTCTAATAGAAACATTAACCATACTGTAAAACTGTGTTAGACAAAAATGTTTATGTAACATTTTTTAACATTACAAAAAAATGTAACAATAAGTAAATAAATAAATAATTGAAAGTTTAGCCTTGACTGTCACACATCCAAAGAAAAAAGGTACAACGAATACAACTTTAAACCTATATGTATGCTTTAAATGTCAATCTGTTGTCTTATGGAAATATTAACATTTGCTCAATTTGTTGCAAAACTTATTTTATTTAGCCAAATATGTTTATTTACCATTTATTTACCTTATCAAAAATAATAGATGAATGAATGAATGAATGAATGAATGAAAGTTTAGCCTTGTCTGTGATAGATCTGAAGAAAAAAGATATCATATAATAGCAATTCAGTACCTATACTGTACGCTTTAAATGGTGGTCTGTTGTCTTATAGAAATAGTAACATTTGCTCAACTTGCTGTAAAACTATGTTATTGTTTTTTAGCCAGAGATGTTTATTTCCCATTTATTCAATCAATCAATCAATCAATCAGTCGGCGGGAGGGGGGATTAGTGAAGTGAAGACCTAAAATTATTCCTACAAAAAACCTGACATGCTTTCAAGGGCCAGCATTGTCTGTTTCAATGTTTGTTGTCTCATGAAGACAGTATTTGCTTGCTTACTTACTTTATTAAAAGTTTAGCCCTGACTTTGATTCATCTGAAAGAAGAAGAAGAAGAAACATTAAACCTAAAAATGCCTAAAAATTAAACCTAAAAATCCCTTAAAATGCTGGCCAGCCTTCAAGGGCTGACCTGTACATGGATCCAACTGGATGATTCATTATGAGAAATGAAAACATTTAATTATGTTAAACTGGTTTCGGGTTATGCTATGACTCACACGTGTGAGCCAGCATAGATCATTATAGTATTGTATAACTGGTAACGGTCACTAGACTGGATCTGTGGGAACTCATGCAGAGAGTATATCCGCTGTCCTGCTATAGTCCACTGAGTTTAGTAACACCACTATATATAGGCCACCCAATGCTGTTGATATTGTTTTACTATTCCCAAACATTACGGATTCTCTCAATCTTTTAAAATGAAACACAATCTCTTGGTGTTCACTGCTGAAATGAAGATCAGCATGAAAGTAAGAATGGCTAATGTTTATGGTACAGCATAATTTAATATTGCTCATAATATATTGTAAACATCTGGCAACTTGGATTTTGGAACACTGTCCAATAGTAAAATACAGTAACACTATTTGTGAAAATGTAGCAGGGAAACTCCTCATCTAAAAGTATTTTCTTTTAAAATTCACCTAAGGGGTTTGTATTGGTTGCCATAAAAAAACGAATCTGTCATTTTGAAGTATAAAACAGAGAAGAGCTGGAAAGATCAGCAGGACATAAGAATTCTGTAGCTGGACAGCCTTTAAAACCAGCAATGCCAACAGGAATCGCATCTCACTGAATATAAATCCATCCATAAAACAAGCCAAATCAAATACACAAACACTCTTTAATGGCACAGTCAAGTGTCCAGGACTTTCAACATGACACAAGCAAAACCACAAAGAAAATGTAACTTTTCATTTGGAAATCTGACACCCTGAAATTGAATTAATCACTATAATTTATTCTTACTGTATATTGCGCTTAAAATACCTGCTAATTTCATACTGTTACACTCTCAGAAAAAAAGGTACAAAAGTTATCACTGGGGCGGTACCTTTTCAAAAGGCACACCTTTGTACCCGAAGAGTCCATATTGGTACCTTAAAAGTACATATTAGTACCTAACGTGTACATATTAGTACTTAAAAGGTACAAAAGTGTGCCTTTTGAAAAGGTACTGCCCCAGTGACAACTTTTGTACCTTTTTTTCTGAGAGTGTAGAGTCAAGTGGCTACTGCAACTGCTTTCTCTTAAGCATAAATGAAATTACTCCATACTATAAAAACACATTGCTAAATAAATCAGTTACTGCAGTAATATAATTAATGTCACAGTCTATATAAATTCCTAATGAAGAAATGCATGTCTGTTGTTTTGTGTAAACATTAGCATTCACTCAACTTACTGTAAAACTATGTTATACAAAGCTGTTTCTATACCATCTATTTATCTTTAAATAAATAAATAATAGGATAGAAAGAAAGAAAGAGAATTAAGAGTATAAGAAAGAAAGAATAAGAAAGTATAAGAATTATACTCCCTACTATAAACACATTTCTAAATAAATCAGTTACTGCAGTAATATAATCAATGTCACAATCTATATGAATTCATAATGAAGAAATGCATGTCTGTTGTTTTACGGAAACATTAACATTCACTCAGCTTACTGTAAAACTAGAAGAAGCTGTTTATTTATAATCTATTTATCTATTTACAAATAAATAAGAAAGAATTAATGAAAGAAAAAATGCATGTGTGTTGTATTGACAAATTTGTTCAGCTTACTGTAAAACTATGTTAGACAAAGTTGTTTATTACCTTTTTTACCTTATAAAAAATGCATAAACAAACAAAAAAATATGAATCCCCAATGAAGAAATGCATGTCTGTTGTCTTATGGAAACATTAACCTTTGCTCAACTTACTGTAAAACCATGCTAGAAGCCATTTATTTACCTTATCAAAAATGAATGAATGAACAAATGAATATGCTGTACTTAGGCTATATATACTTAACTATTATAGCTAGCTATTACTTAACTATTATTTAATCTCTTCCTGTTTTAGCTTATACTATTCTAATCAATGTCTGAAATTTTGTATTTCTAGCACTTCTTGTGTTTATTGCCTCTTAATGATGAATTGCTTATATTCCTCACGTGTAAGTCGTTTTGGATAAAGGTGTTAAATGATGTAAATGTAAAAAGTATGAATGAATGAATGTGTTTAATCGAGCACTTTATCATGTTTCACTCTTGACTACCGTTGTGAAAATCTAATTATATGTGGATAAAACATATTATTAACTTCGAGACAGTCTTTTTGTTTCAACAATTCTTTTGGAAACACTATATATCTATACCATGGGTTTATTAATTCTGAAAATATTTTTTTAAAGAGACACAAACCTTGGCCTGACAGTATTTGGTCTCCTCCTCGTCTTGCTCCGGTCCTGCAGATGGCGAGCGCGCTCAGCTCCGGCGTCTGTCCCTCGCCGACCCTTCAGTGAGAGCGGATCAGTCAGACGCAGTACAGTGCGGATGAGCGATGCTTTGATTCTCATTCATGTCAACAGCCTGAACAGCAGCCAAACCGACGTCTCTCGCTTTCACATGAACGGAATAAAATGCAGCCGGACGAGTCGCAGTATTTGCAACGGTAACGACAACATTTAGCTTCAACGTACATCACAATATGATAGCGTTATGCTCATTTGGTTATTTCCATCTATTAAAGGGGAGGCACTGCATATATCGTGTGTATATTATAATCTGGGAGTTTACCCTCACCGGTTTTATTTTATTATTTTATTATATTTTCTATAGTCGTAACGTAAATCTGGGTAAAATTCACTTGCAGATGGGCGTGGCCTACTGTAACCATCCCGTTATGATACCGGTGTCTCTGCTCATTTTTGTGCGGTTTCCTAGTCCTTTGCACCTATGATGAACGCTCTTACATTGCCCAGAAATGCTGTTTAGGCTTGGCAGCTCACTGTAGGGTTTGAGACACTGCCAGTGTTTAATGCAACTCAGTGTCACATCCGATCTTGATCTCTTCTGTGTCTATTAGGAAGTGTAGGACTGGTGATATAGATGTGCATCCAACAGAAAAGGCTCTAGTGGTGTACTATGAAGTGGAAGCATCCATTTTAGGAGAGGCGGGCAATGCCAGGCATGAGGAGAAGAAGGAGTGCCAGAAAATGTAAGCAGAGAAAAGCTGTTTACCCATACAGCATGTTCACACACACATACCTTCTCCATTGTTATATATAATTAAACTTTTCTTTACATTTTCTCTGTGTTTGTTGTTTAGCATCCGTCTGAGGAGTCTGAATGCCAGCACTGATGTATCTGCCCTGGCCAGAAAGGTGGTGGAAGAGTGTAAAATCATTCATCCATCAAAGCTGGTGGAGGTGGAACATCTGCTGCTGTATTTACAGAACCGAAAGAAGCCCAGCAGTAAATGTAAATACCTTTTTAAAACTTAATTCCCAACTGTAAACAATATCGTTTTTTTTTTTTTTTTGGTGGACGAGCAACCTACAATCTATTTGTTTTAGCAATGTTTATTTATCTATTTATTTTCATGTATCATATCACATGGTGACAGCATTTGTTGTTTCATGTTGTATGTCCTTAGTGGAGAAGAAGGAAAAGAAACCATCGAAACCTAGAGAACTTCTGCCATTTGAAGGAATGGAAGTACGCACATTTTAAGTTACACATTTTTGTGAAAGTGAATGTGTTCACACGTGATTAATTAAACATGTTAAATTATGGTCATTTTTAATACATTTCACACATTTACTTCATTTGACATGATAGCTGCTTTATTCTGTTCTGTGTGATTTTTACCAAATAATTCAAACCGGATTGAAACCGCTCAACAATTCAAGTGTCGTCTTCTTTCCAAATTGTATATAAACCAAACCTAGATGGTTTGTTTAAAGTAAAGTCATTTGCAGTAACACTTTGTTTAGTGTAATTTAATCATTATTGAAGCTCAGCAAATGAAATCTCACCCACGAGTAAATCAACCTCCTTGATAGAAATGTTAATAACAATGGAGGACTGTGTTTACATAACAGTAATACTACTTACTTTCCGGAATGTGTTAACTCTGACAAACTAGCAAATCTCAGCTGCTTGATTGGTGAAAAATATAAAATATATTAACAGCCAGCTATAGTGCAAATTTACCTGCATACATACAGTACACTAATGTAAAGTGATATATACTCTATAGCTAATCTCAACTGCCTCATTTTATTTTTATGTGACTATATTATCGCTCAGCTCTTTATGTAAAGTTGGATATGTATGTCCAGCTTTATCTACATATATACATTATTCACATTAGGCAATATATTCTACAGTCATATATATATATATATATTATATAGCATGTCTCAACTGCTTGATTGCTTGAATCATTGGAAAATGTAAACAAAACTCAAATCTGTAAAATCTGACTGTAAGTCAGAAAGATATTAAGGTTTTATAAACATTAACGGTTTTTTTTGTAAAGCTGCTTTGAAACAATGTGTATTGTGACACATACATAAATATTTTACTTGATTGAGAGCTTTGATGGTCATAAGTTGTCACTAAAGTTGATATATTACTGTAATACTTTTTTCAGATTGATGAGGAGGCCAATATTAATAAAATCGATGATTATATTGAGCTGTTGTATGAAAGCATGCCTGAGAAGTTTAGAGGCTCCACTCTGATCCTCCATCTGGCCTGTAACCCTGATAACCTGGAGGAGCTCCTGCATAATGGTAACTCTTTTTTGTTCTCAATTCACTGTCAACAGTGTTATTATTCTGCAACAATCTGTCATAATAAACATATGAACTGCCACATAACAGCAGGGATTTCAGTGGTCCTTAAACTCTTGCAATACATGTTTGATTTAGTCAGATTATCCAGTTGTTTTTGACTAGTTTGATGTTTTTCAGAGGCTGTGCTTGGAGCTCTTGCGCGGGTCCTGAGAGAGGACTGGAAACACAGTGTGGAGCTGGCAACTACTATCATCTACGTCTTCTTCTGCTTCTCAAGGTACATAATTTCTGTACAGTTTATTTTTTGTCTTAGTTGTTGTGCTTTAAAGGGCCTGAAACAGAATCGAGTAGGCAATGTTTGAAGAGGATTTTAGTGTGCTGATTGTTAATGTGCTGTCAGCATGATGAAGTCAACTCTCTCTAAGAAGTGGCGTCTCTAAATTCAAACGCTTTTAGCATCACCTCTGCAGCCGTCAAAACACAGCTTCATCAACTAATTCAGGGCTTCAAAATTAAATTTCAAAACAATTACTTACTTGGACTTTAAATCGCCTACTGTGAGCAATTTTCCTGGTATGCTCTGATTGTAATCTGTAAGTGTCTATGGGGACTAACAGAGGTTTACAGACACTATTGACAGTTACACAATTGAATGGTAGGACTGTGGTTTGACTTTTAAAAATACATCTCATCTGTTGCACTCCATTCAGCTGTTTTTGAACACAAAAACACATTATGTGGCATCCTTAGGACTGACCAGTTACCTAGCCAATCAGATAACTCATAACTAGTTGGTTATGAAAATATGTACAGACTGTTCAAAGGATTGGGGCCAGATTTTTTTTCTCCTTAAATTAACAGGATGCTTTATATTGGTCACACGTGACAGTAAAGACTTCTACATTGTTACAAAATATTTCTATTTCAAATAAATGCTGTTCTTTTGAAAAAATACAAATAAAAAATATCACGGTTTCCATGAAAATATAAAGCAGCACAACTGTTTTTAACATTTAAAACATGTTTTAAATGTAAAAATAATTTTTTAAACATTTAAAAAATATTATTTCACAATATTACTGTTTTTACTGTACAAATAAATGCAGTATTGATGAGCATAAGAAACGTCCTTTAAAAACATTGACTCTTGCTGACCCCAAACATTTTAACGGTAGTGTAGAGAGAGAAGTATGCAGCATATTCTGTTTTGGAGGATTAATATACTACTTCCATTTTTTATTGTTTATAGAAGCAGATTGCATACCAGATATTCTGATATAGCTCTTGTATAAGGTTGAAAGCCTTAAGAAAACCTTGATACGCTCTCAAAACATCTTTAGTAGCTGCAGATCAGGTTACTGCTATTACTGAGATAGCTGTCAGCATTTATTTGAGCTATGAAAGCGTGTGCTCTCATTTGATGGTTTTCCTTGGCTCTCATTTTCAGATGGCTAATGTGGAAATTTCTTTCCGCAAGCTAGAATGACTTTGACGTTTGAAGGATGTATTTGAAATGCATGATGAATTGTTTGGCCCGATCTTTCCGTTCTGTTTATTTACTAATCAGGACTAGAGTATGAAATTCATCTGGCACGTCCGTCTCGGTATCTCTGCATACCATCCATTGTCTAGCTCTCCAGTTGTATCACATACATCAGTGTCTGGCCGAATGTGCCAGGAGAGGTCGGAGCAGGACAGACCCTCACCACTTGTGTTCTTCCTGCAGTTTCTCGCAGTTCCATGGGCTCATTACACACTATAAGATTGGCGTGCTGTGCATGAACATCATCGAGCACGAGCTGAAGAAATATGACCTGTGGCAAGATGAGTTAGAGAAGAAGAGCAAGGCTTATATCCTTTTTATCAATCTCTGTTCAATCAAAAAATGCATAGCACAAAATAAATGTGTTAAATTAACTAGATTACTCCTTAACATATCCACGTGAAGAGGACCCTGAAAACCAGAGCTTGCGGAAGGAGTATGAGAAAACCCTTAAGAAATACCAAAGCCTCCTGGTCAAACAGGAGCAGCTGCTGCGAGGTACAGGAAGTGAAATGTTTTATTTGCCACAGTTCAGTAGGAATCATCCATGAGGCTTTGATTATGTGTTCCTCTTCCTCCCCACGACTCTAGTTGCGTTCTACCTGCTGTTGAATCTGTCTGAGGACACCCGCACCGAGCTCAAGATGAGGAACAAGAACATTGTGCACCTGCTGGTCAAGTCTCTAGAGAGGGACAATGAGGAGCTGCTGGTGCTGGTGGTCTCCTTCCTCAAAAAGCTCAGCATCTTCTTGGAGAACAAGAACGACATGGTGAGATCTTCTTGGTGCCAAACACATCAGAAGCTTTGAAATACAATTTCTTGAGTTATTAAATCACTAAACACTGCCGGTCAAAAGTTTGGACTGATTATGGTTTTTGAATGTTTTCGAAAGAAGTCACTTGTGCTCACCAAAGCTGCATTTATTTGATGAAAAATAATGTAAAACAGTACTGGTTATATTGTGAAATATTATAACAATCTAAAAGAACTGTATTCTATTTGAATATATTTTAAATTGTACCTTGTTCCTGTAATCATAAAGCTGAATTTTCAGTAGTCATTACTCCAGTCTTCAGTGTCACATGATCCTTCAGAAATCATTCTAATATGCTGATTTGCTGCAAAAAAAGATAGTAAAGGCATTTACAATGTTTTAAAAGGATTTCAATTTCAAATTCTTTTATTTTGAACTTTGTATTCATCAAAGAATCCTGAAAAAAATATATCACTGTTTCCACAAAAATACTAAGCAGCTAAAGCTGTTTTCAACAACAACAAGAAACATTATTAGTAATTGCGCATCAATAATAAATGATAATATTTGAAAGTCATATCATTTTATAGGATCATGCAACACTGAATACTGGAGAGTAATTGCTGCTGAAAATTCAGCTTTTCCATCATGGGAATAGATTACATTTTAAATTATATAAAAAAAGACAACTGTTCTTTTAAATTGCAATAATATGTCTCAGTATTATTATTTAATCAAATAAATGCAGCCATGGTGAGCATAAGAGGTGTAAAAATCAATCAATAAATAAAAAAATATTTATTCAAACATAACTTTTAAACTTTTGACTGGTATATGTAGATCAAATATAAATATGATGCATTTTATTTAAGCATAAAGCTGCACCTTTAATGCGTCCTGAAGAATTATGGGGTCATTTATAGCAGGAAGTTTCTGTCATTGCTGTGCTGAGGTTCGTCCTGGATGTCCTACACTGCTCCACTGTCAGTGCACCTGGAATCAATCTACTCTGGCTATGAATGTACATTTATCAAGACAGAAGTTGTTTTTATTCCTGTATGCCTTAAAAAAGAAATAGACTTTTGGCTTTGAAAATCTCTCATCATGTTGTACATAAAAACACATGTTGGACAAAAAAACTGGCTATTATAGAAGCAGCTGAGAAAAAAATAAAGATGATTTTGTTTGTTTCTCCAGACTAAGCTGTTTTTAAAGTAATTTTATGTAGCTGCTTCTTTCGACTCTAATTGAACATATTACGTGTATTTCACTTGTATGTTTGTAATAGGCTGAAATGGACACTGTAGAGAAGCTGGCTTGTCTGGTTCCATGTGAACAGGAAGACCTGATGAACGTCACTCTGCGACTTCTCCTCAACCTCTCCTTTGACACGGGTCTGCGCACCAAAATGGTGCATGTGGGTTTGCTGCCCAAACTCACTGCTCTGCTGGGTAACTCTTCTAACGTTCATATTATAATGAGACTGGAACATCATTCCACTGTAATTGAATTGCACTAAGGCTTACAGCAGGGTTTATGTACTGTTTTCAAACTTTTTGGTGCCAAGGACTTTTCACAACAGTAGTTTTACAAGGGATATTGCCTAAAACCCTCAGTTAGAAATGATGCAGAATGTGTATATATCCTATCATTCAGGTGTTTGTGTTTTTTGGGGTTGGTAAGATTTTGTTCATGTATTTCATGTTTTATGCTCACCAAGGCTGCATTATGTTCAGAAATGCAGTAAATCAGTAATATTGTGAAATATTATTACAATTTAAAATACGTATTTATTATATTTTGAAATAAAATGTTTTAAAATAAGTATTTTATTATACTTTAAAATGTAATTTATTCCTCTGATGGCAAAGCTAAATTTTCAGCAGCCATTACTCATGAACCTTCAGAAATCATTCTAATATGTTGATTTGCTGCTCAAGAAACGTTTTTCGTTATCAATTTTAAAAAGAGCTGTGCTGCTTAATATTTTTGGGAATCCATAATACATTTTTTTTTTTCAGAATTCTAGTTATAAATATTTTTACTGTCTTATGAATAAAAAGTATTCCTTTCTTAAAAAAAATAATAAACACTGGCCCCAAACTTTTGAACAGTAATATATAAATTATTATTATTATTATTTGTTTTTTATTTCTTACTGTTTAAAAACTACGGCTATCAGTTGAATCAAACAGTCACTGTATTAATCACATAATTTCAAACAATTTGTTAAAATTAAAAATTAAAAACAGGAATAGTGTCAAATTTGGCAGATTTGTTGAAAAATTATAAATAATGTTAAATACATTTACTTTATTTCTATTTATAATACTTTTTTTTTTTCCTCTTTAATTTTCTGTGCAGTCTCTACCACCTTCTTAATAGGAATAGGCGTCCCTGGACCTATTTGAAAACACCCGATTTTAAAAACCTTGTAAACCCAACTCTTTGCACATCTTATCCAAGCCCAGAAATGTTACTTTCTTAAAGCAGTAGATTAAAAACCAACTGGAGAATATCATTTTCCTCTTTTCCATTTGAAATAAACCGTTTTGGCCCAGCACGAAATGAGAGAAAACTTGCATGACTGAAGTTAATGGAAAAATGATATTTGTAAGGTTACCAAAGTAAAGTTATCTTTAGATGTGAATTATACACTCTTATCTTCAAACTAGAAAGAGACTATTTAAGGTTGCATTCAAGGATTTGCGCTGGAAAATCAGTAATGTTGAAATGTTTGAAAACCAACATATGATCTACATCAGAATGATTGTCTTTACAAGCTGCAGAATATACAGTTACACTGAAACCAAAAACCTGCTTTGGCAGAAGCTGGTGCAGGTGCAGATGATGGAGGTTTGGCTTAAATTATGGCCATTTCTATCAGATATCCTGAATCGAGCAAAGCCAAACACATTTACCCAGTGATTATGAGTTCAGCTAGTCATGTCATAGGAGAATAATTCCTCTTTGTGTCTGTTTTAATTTTCACTCGTTCACAACAATCCAACAGCACTTTTCATGCATCTCTGTCAGGCATCAACCACAATATTCCTGGTAATTTGATGCATATGACATGCGTCTCTTTTCCTGACCAGCTCGAGTGACACCTCTGCATCGAAGCTGCTTTGTAAATCCTTCTCGTGATTACATCCAAGAGCTTAATTGCACATTTTTTTCAATGGGTTAGCCATTTACGCTTCAGCAGTTAGGACTGAGTTTAAGAGCTGCCTGGCTGCCGTCGTAAAGTCAGTCCGTCTCCGCTTACTCTCGCTGAGGTTAATGGCGTCTGCGGCCACTAATGAGAAGCACATGTTCCGGCCACCGAGGGCCCGCCCAGGACGGCCCTCGCTTATTAATGCCACTAAAATATATGCCTCCTTCTGTGTCCCCAATTAAACAAACTAAGCAAACCTCTTCTTTACCTACTCTGCTTTCCCTCACTCTCTCTTCCTTTTTTTATCCTGACATCCCCAGCGGTCACATCTGTTTCTAATCGCTGATGTGATAATGTGCTCTAGGGTGTCTCGGGTCCCGACTGCCTCGGTCGGACTCATAATGACTGATTATCCCATTGCTCTATCTGAGTGTTTCCTATCTCACAGGGGAGTATCAGCATTAGGGAAGAAGAGGAGGAGGGCGTAAAGTGTTATTAATGAGAGTGTTTGAAGGGAGAAGCGTGAGTGTGTGTGGTGCGTGTGTATCTGCGGTCTCTCTCCCCTGTGGATTGAGTTTGGATTGTAATAACATACCCCACATGCTCTTATCTATAATCTCTGTGATAAATGATTCGCTCTCAGCACGAGCCAGTATAAATGCATGATCTAACTGACCACGACTGATCAATTTAGATAGCGCTTGGAAAGTTTACATGCATTGTGAATCTCTCTGAAGGTTTTTTTCTCGTCTTTTCTTTAGGTGATGACACGTACAAGCACGTAGCGATGCGTATCCTCTACCACATCAGCGTGGACGACAAATCTAAATCCATGTTTGCGTATACTGACTGCATTCCTCAGGTGAGCGTTTTCTTCACTTTATTCACTTTTGATTGAGATTGGGGCACTTCATAATTAATTATTCTGTTGGTTATTTTTTAAATGAATTAGATATTCCACATGTTGCCCAATACAGAGGTTATAATATAAAGAAACATAACAAAACACCCTCATGTCGTTCCAAACCCGTAAGACCTCTGTTCATCTTCGGAACACAAATGAAGATATTTTTGATGCATTCTGACAGCTCTCTGACCCTCCCATAGACAGCAAGGGTACTACCACGATCAACGTCCAGAAACGTAGCAAGGAGATCGGTAAAATAATCCATGTGACATCAGGGGTTCAACCGTAATATTACGAAGCTACGAGAATACTTTTTGTGCACAAAAAAAAAAGAAGAAAAAAAAAAGGACTTTATTCAACAATTCGTCTCCTCCGCTTCACCCTGGTGCCATTTTGGAGAACCAGGGTGACGCGGATTGTTAAATAAAGTCCTATTTTTTTTTTTCTTTAGCGCACAAAAAGTATTCTCGTAGCTTCGTAATATTACGGTTGAACCCCTGATGTCACATGGATTATTTTACCGATCTTCTTGCTACGTTTCTGGACGTTGATCGTGGTAGTACCCTTGCTGTCTATGGGAGGGTCAGAGAGCTGTCAGAATGCATCAAAAATATCTTCATTTGTGTTCTGAAGATGAACAGAGGTCTTACGGGTTTGGAACGACATGAGGGTGTGTAATTAATTACAGAATTTTCATTTTTGGGTGAACTATCCCTTTAAAATGACCAAATAAATGATATTGAATAATAATATTTAAGGGATAATTCACTATTAATTATAACTCATCCTCATGTCATTACAAATCTTTCTGTCTTCTGTGAAACATACAGTAAAAGAAGATATTTTGAAGAATTCTTGTAACCAAACAGTTTTGGTTTCCATTAACTTGCATCGGTTCAGCAAAAATTTCAGTGGAAGTAAGTCAATTGGAACCGAAATTAATTACCAACATTCTTCAAAATATCTTATTTAATGTTCCATGGAAGAAAGAAAGTCATACAAGGTTGAACCAAAATAAGGGTGAGTAAATGATGACCGAATATTTTCTTTTTTTTGTGGGGGGGGGGGGGAACTATTGCTTTGAAAGAAAGCAAACCAAAATGAATTGTTAACAGGAAAAGGAAGAATTTTCTGCCAGGACACACACATCATTCCCTTCTCTTATCATAGTGACATGTTACTGTAATCAGATGACTTTTTTTTCAAGAATGAAGTAATGTAAAGAGGCTTTCGCACCAGAGAAATGTTTTCATCGTTCCTGTAACTATTGGCATACCTGCTTTTTGGCGTGTTCACGCTGCAGGGACTAGGAACTAGTTTATGCATAGGAATATCTTTTGAGGGGACTAAATTAGCACCTACTTCAAGTTCACAGTAGATTCTAACTCCGCTCAATAGGAACTACCAGTGACATAAGTGTACGTTGATTGGCCAAACGCATGTTGTACGAAACACTAGAACCTGCCATTTTTAAAAAGACATGTAAACACAGTTTACATAGACTTACTCCACAAACTAACTCCAAGAACATGGAGAACAGCGATAGATGGACTGACGCCCAGATACTTATCTGTCCTCTTTCCTCCAGTTATTGACGTTATTGAATGCCATGCTTAAATGACATCGCTGTCAGGCACCTTACGTCACTTGAGGGTTCCTAACTGATAATGAAATGCATTGTTGTTTTTTTCTTTATCATCAAGTGGTAATTAATATAGATTATAAAATCTGTGATTGTATGTCAGACAGGCCAAAACGTGTTCTGTGGTGATACTGAAAAAATTTGAATGTCTTTCTGTATGTTTAGAATTAAATATTAGTATAATTAATTGCAGCATTACAGGATACTCTGAATTCTGTTTATTAATTGTAAAAGGGGTCATATGATGCTGCTAAAAAGAACATTATTTTGTGTATTTGGTGTAATGAAATGTGTTTATGTGGTTTAAGGTTCAAAAAACACATTATTTTCCACATACTGTACATTATTGTGTACAAAGCTTTTTTTACAGATTTTTACAAAGCTCATCGGTCTGAAAAGCGAGGTATGCTCTGATTGGCCAGCTATCCAGTGCGTTGTTATGCCTTCTTTCTTTGCGTGAACATTTGGGCTGCGTTATGCAAATCTTCCCACATCGTGACGTAGACGTGTTAGAACGAGCCGTTTTAGGTAGGCGTGGTTGACTCTTAACTTTTATAAAGAATATCTCTTTGGATTTGAGACTTTGAAAGGATTTGAGAAAAATTGAAATCGCATCATATGACCCCTTTAAAAATAGTACCTAAACCAGTATGTACTTATCCGGTAACTTATCCTGTGTGTGTGTGTGTGTGTGTGTGTGTATACTGTACTGCACAAGTATTAAAAGGTATTTTGTACTATGCTATATCAAACATGTTTTTGCTGCTGTGGTGTGTCATGTATGTATCATGTGTGCACCTCACCTAATGTTGTAAAGTTGGCTAATTGCTGCGCTGTCTTTCTCTCACATGGCGTTAATGAGATAACCGAGCTAATTTAATTGGAGGGGGGCCTCTGTGAGGTCACCAGCAATTGCCTGGGTACAATTTCTCTGAAACAACTTCTGCCCGAGCGTTGTCATCTTTAAAATGCTTGTCTTCTCAAATTGGGTGAAAATGCCTACCAGATGCTTGTAAAAAAAAAAAAAAAAAAAGTTAAATTCCTCAACCTAATCGCTCCGCCAATCCGCCTGGAGACGGTCGGGGCATGATGTCAGAATAGCTGTGGGACTCCTTAGGGAGGAATGCAATTCTTTCTTTCTTTCTTTCTTTCTTTCTTTCTCTTTTAGTTGTCCATGCTTTTGTTATTTTTCATTCATTCTTTTAATTCTGTCATTTGTTTATTTGTTCTTTTTTTCATTTGATTATACTTTTTTTATTCATTCTTTCATGTTTGTTCTTTTTTTTCTGTCTTTCAGTTCATGTTTTTATTCATTTTTGTTCTTGTTTTGTTTATTCTTTCTTATGTTTGTTTTCATTTGTTCTTTCTTTTGTTTCTATTTCTGTCTTTTTACTTTCTCTCTTTCTCGCTTTCTTTCCTTTGTTCTTTTGTTCGTTCTTTTGTTTATTCATTATTTCTTACAGTTGTTTATTAATTAGTTTCTTTCATTCGTTCTTTTGATTTTTGTCCTTTCTTTCTTATTTTGAAGACTCCCCTGACTCTTCATCAATAGCTAATGTGTGTCCGTTGGTGTCTGTGGATCTGGTGTCTCTCAGGTCTGTGCTGGCAGTCAGCCTGGACCCTCTTCTGTAAGGGAGGATTTAGGATTTAGATCAAAAGGCCTCACTGCTCTGGGTTCTGAACTGGCGAGGAGAGGCCTGGCATTGGACCCATTCCTCTGCCACAAAGGGTCTCGCTATAATTACTCAAAGCTGTGAGGTGTGTGTGTGTGTGAGGAAATGCTTGCAGGGCTTGTGGAGCTATGAAACCATGGAGAGCTCAGAGACTGAGGTGAGAGGGAGGGGATGACTCGGGTACGAGGCAGGGCCTCCCATAGCTGGTAAATAGGAGCAAGCAGGTGCCAGTGAGTCTAGACTGCGTGATTTGGAGGCCTGGGACCAGGTTATGTGATACTCAATATGGGAAAGGCCTGATTGCTCACTGCTGCCTCTTCACAGGCCTGCGTTGGTCTGGTCGTGCCTTCCTGTGTAACATCTAACTGGCCCATACCGTGTCCCGTGCCCATTGCGGCCAGTGGAGCCTCCTCTATCTTCATCTGTTCATCTCCTCATCGCTCTTTTTAACCACATGTGCAGAATCTGTTGGCCACTGGCCAGTTATCTCCTTAAGACAGGCCTGTCAAGTCTCTCTCATTGGGCCATTATCAGCTGCAGCATTGACCTGATTGAAGCGGACTGTGGGATATTGTCTCAACTCTCTCTGGCTTTTGAATAAAAACACAAATAGCAATCCTTTCGCCAACAATGACAGCACTCATGCTTCTCCCTGTCAGGAACCATCTCTTTCACCATTTATTTCTTTTCTTTTGTTTTCCATCTGATTGTTTCACGATACTCCACATGCAATACTCCTCAGTTTTGAAATGTGCTTCAATAGGCCCATTGTGATATCACTCTCTGAGGACGCTTGGAAACCACACATGAGCCCTGATGTTACTGACAAACTATTCTGGGCTTCACATTAGATTAAGATTTTCAAGTTACTTATCTGTCTTGACAGGTGTCAGCCCATAATTTTATTTATTTTTTTGTGTTTTTTTTTTTAAATAGTACTATTTATGAAAACAACAATAATAATAAAAAAAACAATGAATTGAATTATTATTTACTTAAATATTAATACTGTTGTTGTAACATTGGTTTAGGTGCATTTAATTATTACTGATTTCATTATTATTGTTATTGAATTTATTTTTAAATTACAATTAAAATATAATTATAACAAATAATAATAGTAATACAACTAATAAATAAGAATTATACTTAGATGATCTTAATATATTTATGTTCTGATTCTTTAGTACTTTACATTTGGAACCACAATAGTTTATAGGTGAACCTGAAGGATGGTGTGCGTTATAAGTGAACTGAAAGGATTAAACCGGTCTAAAAGGATCAGAGATTGCTAAATACAGTGGTGGCCTAAATTATTAGAACACTAGTATTTTCACAAGTTAAAAATGGTTTTAAGTCAGTAACGCATATTTTTGGTGGCCCGTTTGCAGTAGTAAAGAAAGCATGACAACTTCAGAGTTTCTGAATGTTTTTCTGTTGTTAATGTTAAGCCCTGCTATAGTGTGGTCTGGTTATTTAATGTTTTCATGTTGATACCCTGCGTATAGTAATTTTAATTGAAATCCTGTTTTGTGTGTGAACAGCTCATACAAATGCTCTTTGAACATGGCGAAGAGAGAATGGACACCGAGCTCATTTCATTCTGCATCAACCTGGCTGCTAACAAGACTAATGCTCAGATTATCTGTGAGGGTAAGAGCCTGAATCTCATTTCTCCTGGAATAACATGCAACATGTCAAAAACATCTGTGTTTACATGTAATAAAGCGTACTGTCACACACCAGCGACAACTGTTGCTTCTCTGTAATAAATAATACATGGAATCTGTTCAAACTTATGATCAATCTCTGGCTGATCGTGGTTAGTTGTGTATTTGCTCTGCAGGTAATGGATTGAAGATGCTGATGAAAAGAGCACTTAAACTGAAGGACCCGCTGCTGATGAAAATGATCAGGAACATCTCACAGCACGATGGACCTCTGAAACAGCTCTTCATTGTAATTTTAATATTCTGCCATACCATTAACAGTGTTGACCTTCACTATTAATTAACAATACGTACTGTGAACGATAAATGATAATGATAAAAAAAAATTACAAATTAAAATTTAAAAACATTATATTTATTTATTTGTAGTATTCTGTTATATATTTGATAGCCCAAATATTTTTACATTTGTAATTTCATGAAGCAAAAATTGAAATCCTAAGTATCTTACAGGTTGGGAATTCCTGTGCTAAATGAACACCTAAAGATATTTTGTCATTTACCCTTCAGGAATATGTGGGTGATCTGGCAGCTCAGATCAAGCAGGAAGGTGATGAAGAGTTTGTTATTGAGTGCTTGGGTACAATGGCAAACCTCACCATACCTGACCTGGACTGGGAGCTCCTTCTGAAAGAGTACAACCTGGTGCCCTACCTCAAAGACCACCTCAAACCCGGTAAAGCTAACCTGTACCTGTTTGTGTTTCAGGATGGATTTGTAATGGAAAGCTAATATACAGCCTGCTACATACAGTACAATGCTACACTGTATTATTGTCATTGGGCCTTTTTTATTGACGTCAAGGTGCTAGATCACAAACTTGACACGTTTTTCATAATTCATTAAATGGTCCTGTGTGTGACAAATCATTTTAAAGAAATACAAATAGTCTGTGTAGTCGCTTAACTACTATCAACTCAAAAAACTGGTATGTAGAATTGTTCAAAATGCTGTTTAAAAGTTTTAGATGGAGTATTTCAAATTACCAATGTCAAGTATTCATATGCTTTTTACTACTACCTATTTTGTTAAGGTTGTATGTGAAACAGTATCCAGCATGAAACCCTAACATATTAATCTGTAGAGTAGTGCATTGTGCTACATCACATTACCTCATATTTATGAGAGAGTCGTCTGTTTATAATCCCAAAAATCTTGTAATCCAATTTTGTGTAAAAACGGCCCAATTTTTGTCATCAACCTCATTTATTTGTCACAATTAAATGACACAAATTAACAAGCACTTTTTTGCAAAGGTAGTATGTCATTCATTGGCATTCCTTATTGGAGTAGTATGAAATACCATTTTTCATTATGCCAAACCAGACTTGACCTTTAACCTCTGTGTTTCAGGCTCAGCAGAGGATGACCTGATCCTGGAGGTGGTGATCATGATCGGTACGGTGTCAATGGACGACTCCTGTGCCGTCATGCTGGCTAAGTCTGGCATCATTCCTGCTCTTATTGAGCTGCTAAATGGTAAGTGTGCTGCCAACACTTACACACATTTATTAGCGTTGAGCCAGAGCATGAGTGCTTAAAGAAACAAACAGATCTCCAAACCCTCTCGACACAAAATCTTTTTCATTATCGCTAACCATAAAAATAAATTCCAGAGAAAAAGATCAGTGCTGTTTTGATTTCTACTTTTGTTTGGCCGAATCGCAACAGCTGCCCCCACCCCGCTTTGCGTGTCTGTAGCCACTCAAGTACCAGATTTCAATTTGGCATGCTTTGTCTTCCTTAATTTGATCTGATTAAATTAGTTTTGAAGAGTTTATTTAGACTAAACTAATATTAAATTAGAATAAATAAACAGCCCATGGCTGCGTGGGACACAGGGGGCTGATTCTTGCTTTGTGCATTATGTGCTGGGAAGTGACAGTGTTTTCAGGAACAGGAAAGCACCAGGTTCATGGCATGCATCAGATTTGCTGGTTCTGCTCAATGTGAGCCCTCTTTCCAGTAAATGCCTGATGGCAGGGCTCTCCCTTGCCATGAAAAGAATAAATGTTTAGGAGCCAAGAAGGTGGAGGGCCAAAATAGTGACCGTCCCAACATATACAGCTTGGCAACTTTTTTTCCTACTCCAGACACAATGGTCTCAATTACATTAAACATTAAATTACATGAAATTCAACATCTGAAATGTTTTTGCACTACATGCCATATAATATTTTATAACTTTGATCACAACAATGCAATAACAAATCTGACATTTGTTTTCCTCGCGATAAGCATGATGTGGCAACGCCGCATTGACAGATGCTTGGGTATTGTTTTATTTATACATAACTTTTCAGCACTTGTGTTCGTATACTCATTCGCTGGCTCTTTCTCATCTGAAGAGGCGCTGACATGTTCTCTGTGATGTTATTTGTAGCTTGTGCAAAGCTTGTGCAGCTCCTTGCTGTAGTGGTATTGCATGCATCAGATTTGCTGGTTCTGCTCAATGTGAGCCCTCTTTCCAGTAAATGCCTGATGGCAGGGCTCTCCCTTGCCATGAAAAGAATAAATGTTTAGGAGCCAAGAAGGTGGAGGGCCAAAATAGTGACCGTCCCAACATATACAGCTTGGCAACTTTTTTTCCCACTCCAGACACAATGGTCTCAATTACATTAAACATTAAATTACATGAAATTCAACATCTGAAATGTTTTTGCACTACATGCCATATAATATTTTATAACTTTGATCACAACAATGCAATAACAAATCTGACATTTGTTTTCCTCGCGATAAGCATGATGTGGCAACGCCGCATTGACAGATGCTTGGGTATTGTTTTATTTATACATAACTTTTCAGCACTTGTGTTCGTATACTCATTCGCTGGCTCTTTCTCATCTGAAGAGGCGCTGACATGTTCTCTGTGATGTTATTTGTAGCTTGTGCAAAGCTTGTGCAGCTCCTTGCTGTAGTGGTATTCAGTTTCTGGTCCCATGGAGCAGCTAGCCTCTTTGCTATCATTCTTCTGGAGGAATTTCGACCCCAGGGGACGAGAGCGTTCTGAGCCAGATCAAAATTGAAGCTTTTATTAAAGTTAGGAGGGGGCAGCTACAACCGCACAGTTCTCCATAGGAGCTTTCTGTATCATTTCAGAGGAAAAGTTGATACTTTCCCCAAATGGCAGCTTCTCACGAGAGCCTTCATATATAAACATGATCCACCGGAGGAGGTTTTGAACGTCAGCTCGCATGAAAAGGCACCATCGGATAGGAAATGCCTGCGCAGCTGCACTGGAGTGTGCGTGTTTGTTGGTTTGCTGTATCGCATTTCAGCTTAATGCTGACGTGTAGATATTCTCGTGATAAGGAAACATTATATGCCTTCATATAATAACATATATCTGTGAGGAAATATTTTTGGTCCAATTCTTCTTTATATGAAGCAAAATGTTTGATTTTGTGAGGTCCAAGTAATGTTCTTCATCTGCTTGTGTTGCTGTTACCAGCCCAACAGGAAGACGATGAATTTGTGTGTCAGATCATCTACGTCTTCTACCAGATGGTCTTCCACCAGGCCACCAGAGATGTCATCATTAAGGACACTCGTATCCTTGGTACAATAAATTGGTTTTCCGTGTATGGGCATGTTTATCTGCGCAGATGTTTTGTAAATGGTCTTTAATGGCTGTTTGGCCTGTGTTCACTGGTGCTTTGATACTTTTGGGTTCTTCAATCTTGAATATTGCAGCTACATGTAAGAATACATGATTATTTTCACATCCAGATAGAAGGAGAATGTTAAAAAGCAAGTTTGACTGCACTGTAAAAAGTGGCAGCTTGCAATTGTTACCCTATGGATCTATTTTATTCTATTGATTCAGACATATTGAATAATGTTTTTGATGTTACACTGTGAAGCACTTTTTTAAAGTTTCATGACAAAACATTTTACAGTACAGACTAAAATCAGACCGCCAAAGACCAGACCAGTGGGACTCAAACCCAGACAAAGGCCATTTTTGTGTGGTTTTAAGAAATCTAAAGACCAAGACCACAAAATTGAAGATTTCAGCTCCAATGTAAGATATTTGCCAGATTTTACTTGAAATTATTGTAATCATATGATGGCAATTTTACACTGATACTCAGTTGTTCTTTTTAATAACTAAATATTTTGTATAGTTTGTATGGCAAAGATGGCCAAAATGGGTACTTCACTACATTAATAATACTAAATACTAACTATTTATAATATTATCAAATAATAGTTATTAATAATATGGCCACTTAAGAGCTCTTACTAAATATTTATAAACAAAGACTCATGTTTCTCAGAATCATGGCTATAATAAAATGTAAAAATGTGCATATAGGTTTTTACATGGCATGATAAAATATCAAGATACGAATATTTTTTCACTGATTGAAAATTTTAATTATGGTAATTGAACTATGAACTCCTTAACTGTATTTCAAAGAGGCCCCAGCCTACCTCATTGACCTTATGCACGACAAAAATGTGGAGATCCGGCAGGTTTGTGACAACACTCTGGACATCATCGCTGTAAGTAGTATTCACAAACAACCCCACTACATATGTGCACTCAAATCCAAATCAGAGACGTGTGCGTGCGTGTGTGTGTGTGTGTGTTTTTGCTCAGTGCTGACCATGTATGTATACAGTGCTGATAAAATCTCTGCAGTTAATGCCCACTCACTGACATTAGATAGCAGTAATTGGTGGTGAACTCTTGAGAGGCAGGTTTGTTTGGGGAAGTGTTTCATTCACTTTATTAGCCTGCTCGTTAAGCCTCGGCCACATGAAAGCATGCGTGTGGGATCTGGTTTTTATCTGTGGTGACAGAGAAAGTGCAGATGTATAGCTGTGGTTCAGCAGACTGACATGTTTGACGTTGGTAACAAGTATGCAGATTTACATTTTCAACGGCCATTCTGTGAAAAAGACTTTTCCCCTTAAGGTAATTTTAAAGTTTTTATAAATAAGTACAAATTTTTATGCTTGTTTATATTTGTGCCATCTCAAGCTTAATTAATTGATTAATTCATATTATCTTGGTAAATAAATTATACCTTCAGAATGGTAACAAAATTGGCAGTTTTTCAGATTAACTCGTACTCTTTATTTTGATAGTCGACTTTAGACATTCTACTGTCTGTTAGTCACTTAGACATTGACATGCAGTTGCAAATATACGTAGAGTTTGTAGAATGTCTAAAGTGGACTATTGAAATAAAGAGTACCAAATTAATCTGCAACCTTTCTGAAGGTATAATTATTTACCAAGATAATATTAAATAATCCATTTATTAAGCTTGATGGCACTATGCAATATGTAAACTTTTAATCTGGCATTAAAAGCCTTGCTTAAACTCATTAAGATACTACTACAATCAGTTATCACTTACTGTTGACAAATGCAGAACAACAACCCATAAGATAAAGTGATAAATTAGAGGAGACTACTGTATATATATATATATATATATATATTTAAAAAAAGTTAACACAATCTGTGGTACAAAGTCTTTTTATTTATACATTTCAACTAAAAAATAAAAAAATACAATAAAATAATAATAATAAATCAATTTTAGAAAATTATAATTATAGTAATAAAAAAACATTTTATTCGATTTTGATTCTGGGAGTCATGGTCCAACTTCAAAACAATTCTCAATGCATCTACATATGCTTGGAAGGTTCTATTGATGGAGTTGGAACGAAACAGAGGTGTACCTCTAATATACGTTTCAGCAACGTTTCACAAACCTTTTTTGAGAATTTTTCCCCACCCCCAGGCTGGAACAAACTTAAAGGGATAGTTCCCCCAAAGGTGAAACTTCTGTCATCATTTACTCACCCTAATGTTGTTCCAAACCTGTATGACTTTATTTCTTCTGCAGAACACAAAAGAAAATATTTTGAAGAACGTTGATAACCAAACAGTTTTGGCCATTGATGAAGAAAAACACTCTTAACATTTCTCAAAATATCTTCTTCCATGTTCCACAGAAGAAAGTATGTCATACAGGTGAGTAACTGCTGATAGAATGTTCATTTTTGGGTGAGCAATTCCTTTAAAATTGTGGGTGTAGGTCTGTGTGAGTGTGTACTGTCACTGGCCCTGTGGGCTTTGCATCAGGCTCCTAGCCCCAGGCTCCCGCGTAGCTCTGCGCTGCTGTGTCCACATGATGAATGGACAGAGCAGAGAAAAGAGAAACAGGGCTTATTTACTCAGGTTCTGCTACAGGGGGCCTCGGCTGATTAATCCATATTTTCATTCAGCGGAGCAGGCGGCGGCAGGACGCCTCTGTGGGCCTTTAGACCCTGGGACAGAGAGCTGGCCTTGAGCTCTGAGCTCCAGCAGCCCCCCTCCTGCACCCTGCGCCCCTCTGTTGCCTCACCGTACAGAGCTAATGCTACGTTAATTAACAAAACTCAACCTCAGTTAGTTTGGGTATGTTAAATACTTTGTCTTGGCAGAGATGGTTTAACTTTGTAATCGTTATTTATGGGATGAGCTTTGTGCAAAGGATGTTAGACATGCTTCCCGGCTGCTCAGTGAGAGCTGCTTTCTTAAAGGGATAGTTCACCCAAGAATAAATATTTATGAAAAATCATTTATGTTCCCTTTAACTCCAAACCTGTATGAATTTCTTTTTTCATTTTTCAAGTTTAAGTTAAATTCACTTTTCCATCCCCAAAGGGTAGGACTGTGCAAATAATCGAATGCGATTTTCATGCGCATCTCGTCTGCATTCGATTATTTGCACAGCCCTACCAAAGGGGAAGTTTGTTTTGGACCCATGGTGTAAAAATACTAAACAGTAATATACCCAAACATCACACAATGTAAAATAGAAAAACCATCATAAAATCATACATTAGAAAATAAATATTTTTTCAGTGAACGATCCCTTCAACTCATTCATTTTGTTTAAAACGGTAGTGAAAACAGATGCTGATAGGGGTAGTTGTGACGAAATTGTACTCTCTTAAAAAGTAACTGAGGTCAGTTTTGATTTCATGTTAACTTTAATTTCTAGTGTAAAGAATGACTCTTGAAAGTTGAATAAGCTCCTTTCCCAAACGGTGCAGGTCCCCAATAAGGAACCACTTTTTTCAGCAAGAACACATTAAATTGATCAAAAGTGCCTGTAAAGACATTTATAATGTTAAAAAAGTTTTCTATTTCAAATAATTGATTCTTTTGAACTTTCTATTCATCAAAGAATCCTAAAAAATTAACCATGGTTTTCACAACAATTGTTAAGCAGCACAACTAGTTTTCAACATTGATAATAATAAGAAATGTTTCTTGAGCACCAAATCAGAATATTAGAATGATTTCTGAAGAATCAAAACTAGAGGAATGACTGCAGGAAAGTCAGTTTTGCCATCACAGGCAAAAAACAAACTGTAAACTGTAATAAAATTGCACAGTATTACTGCTTTTACTATATTTTTCAAATAAATGCACCCCTTTTGAGCACAAGAAACTTCTTTCAAAGACATAAAAATTATTGAACAGTAGTGTATATGTGATTTGATTGATTTATATTGTTTATGGACTTAAATAAGTGAGGGCCAATTATGCAGTCACACTTCTCTCAGAAGAACACTAGTTCAGCACTGTTTCATTAGAAGAGGTTCATAAAGATTGAGGTAGACTGATGTAGACACTCTTGACATGCGTTGGCAAAGGAATCCAATAACACAAAATCAACTGATTCCCCATCTCGCCAAGAAGTGCAGGCCGGGCAGAAAGTGTACGGCTGTGGGCGAGTTGTGTGTTGTGTGTGGCACTCTACCCAGTCTGTGGGCTTTGCACCTTTAATCACTGACTTCACTGGATTCAACCAGAGCTCTGTTTCTCTGTGGCACCATCAGCAGACACGGCCTATAGGGAAAACCCTGCTCAGACAGAAGCCCTCATTGTGGGATGAAATATATCTGCTGCGGAGGGTCCGGATGGTGTTAGAAGTCTGTGCAACGGTAAATGTTAGATTGCCAGGCGTGACAGTGTTTGGGACCCTCTCGCTCAAATATTCACTGGAAATCTCTTGTGGGGAGTTCAAGTGGAGCTGGCACTGAGATACAGAGTGACAGCGCCATTTTGACAACTTGAAATGTGTGAATTTGCACAGCTGTGTGGTATAATTTAGGTTAGAGGGTAGTAACACATCTCAGGCGAATAAATATACTGTACATGTTTGTGTGTGTTCTGCAAAGGAGTATGATGAAGAGTGGGGGAAGAAGATCCAAAGCGAGAAGTTTCGCTGGCATAACTCACAGTGGCTGGAGATGGTAGAAAGCAGACAGATGGAGGATGCCGAGCCCTACCTGTACGGAGATGATCCGGATGCCCTGGAGCAGCCCGATCTCTTCTACAGCACTGGTTAGAAAACACACATACACCCCAAACACCCCTCATGGCGAAAGACAGTCAGTGTTTTCATGTCTGCTAACACAACTTGATTGATATCCTGTGCCACAGCTAGACAGACACAGAAAGTTAAAAACCTTACATTTAGATTTCCAGATTTTTGCATGGGGATTGTGATGCTGTATTTTGGCTTGATCGTCCGTCGAGTTGGTGTCATCAAAGGCTTGTTGTAGTGAGAGGTTGTCAGGAAGATAAATGAGGAGAGCTGCTGGGTGGAAGTGGCTCTGCTGGGTCGCTGTCTCGTACGTTTGTTTGGTCTATATACTCTGTGTGTGTGTGTGTGTGTGGAATGGAGACTTCAACGCCTGGTGAGTGAGCAGCTGTTACCCTCATCAGCTTCCCTTGCATTAAATACATATGTAATAAAAACTCTTTATAATGTATTTTGTTACTTAATAGGGCTGGCAATTAAAACGAAATTTTTTACATGATATACCAGTTAACTAAAAGAATTATAAAAACATGTTTTTACTAAGAAAATCCCTTTGCCACATTGTGTTGTGAGTGACCCATTTTGTTTCGCCTTGTCGAGTTAAAGGGGTCATATGATGCTTTTTTAAAGATCATTATTTGGTGTATTTGGTGTAACAGAATATGTTGACATGCTTTTTAGAGTACTTTGTAGTTCATTTTTTATCACGTTTTTTCTATAATTATTCTTAGTGAATTAACTTATTGAATTGACAGTGCTAATGATTAATTATCTCAGTTTTGACCAAAAACTGATAAAAAAGAATAGTGCTATAGCAGTCTGAACTGTAAACTACCACATTAATTGTTAGGTTCATATCATGGAAGCATATCAAGCTTCCTTGAAATAGTTACTGATATCAAATTAATTATGTCACATCCATGAGCACATATGGTATATTAATTTCATATTAATGCCTAATGATGAAGGCAAGCCAATCATAATGGTGCTTATTTATATAAAGAAATATTAAAGGGGTACTTCACCTGAAATTTAAATTAATTCGTACATTCATCACTCATCCTCATGTCTTTCCAAACCTGTGTGACTTTCTTCTTTTTCTTCGTTTTTTTTCTGTGGAACAGAAGAACGTTGGGAACAACACTAGAGCTCATCGACTTACATTTTTGACAAAAAAATTACATTTATTTACATTTCTCAAAATATCTTCTTTTATGTTGCACAAAAAAAGAAAGTCATACAGATTTGGAATGACATTAGGGTACATAATAACCCTGTAGAAGGGCTGCAACTTTATTTCTATGGTTCAGAAAGAAGTCAAAAATGGTCATGTAAAACTGATTATGAAGAAACCGTTCAAAAAACTGTGATTAACATAACTGGCCTTCAGGGGACAAAATAAAATATTTTTTCCCGTCCTGGCATCTTCTAGGAAGTCTTTCTCAAGCTTGTGTTTTCTAGAAGTCAGGCCGTTTGCATTCGTACAGTTGCTGTCTTAGGCTGCAAATACCAACCAGTCGTTTATATTTTTTAAGTAGCCTATGATACATATATTTTTTGTTATTTTTGTTAAAGGTTATTCATAAAAAAGAAAAAACTCCATAATAGCCATACATCGAAATAACACTTTTGCTTGAAAACATTGGCATATGAAACTGCTGATTTGTTCATAACATTGGTCCATTCTTCTAATTGATGCTTCCAGTACCCTTACAAGTCATCCTAATGTTAGCGATCTACAGTACAGATAATATTACATCAGTGATGTACTTATATCAGTATAATTCAACAACGATCTTTAATACATCACAAAAATCCACTTAGTTTGCAAGGCATAATAACACAAACATGTAGTACATTGAAAACGGCAAGTGACAATCTGTTTGCCGCACAGTCCCTAGACCATCAGGCCATTGTTACTGTACTTGTTTTCTCACACCAGTTTGGTTTTTGGGTCTTCATAAAACAGCATTGTTAAATCTTCTACATTAAACGTCTTTAGCTTTGTCATTTTCTTTTAATCATTTGGACAGTATGATCACAGCTGTTCAACAAAGCGCCAGGCAATATTCCTCTGTCTGACGTTCTCTTTCTCTCTATCAACGATACTCTTTTGGCCCAAAAATAAACATGCCTTTCAAGTTCCATGCAGCCAAATATATTGTCCACATTCCTCTACAAACACACACACGCACACATATGAGTACAGATAAAATAACATTTCACCTCTCCATCCAATCCAGTGCTCACGTTGACTCTCTAAGGCTGCCAAAGAGCTGATCTGTGAGGAAATGGATCCCCCACACTTGTGTTCGATATGCAGCTCTGATAGTACATACTTGCTCTTGTAGTCTAAACTTGCCCTAATAGTGTGTACTTGATGCGATCTATTCCACTGGACGTGTTTATTATGCGCCGTGTGCTTTGTATGGAGAATGCGCTGCTCGTTGGCCTGTTTGTTTTGGCTGGGTGGGGATTTGGGCACTTCGCAGACTGAGGTCCGGGGCGCTGAGAGCCGCTGGGCTGTCATGTGGGTGAGGATAGAAGCGGGGATCCAGATGGAGGGGCGAGTTCTCCAGCGGCTCTTTGTAAAGCGATACATTTCAAATATACACAGAGGGTTGGGGGGCAACATTAGGGTCCTGGGATGAATGGTTTAATTTGAGTGGGCAGCTCTGAGTGACAGAGGTTACCATAATAATCCAATAGAGTTTCAGTCTTTACTTAAGACGCTTGTGAAACGATGTGTGTGAACGCAGGCCTTTTGGAGTGGTTTACTTGGAGTGGTATTTGATTAACTCAAGTGGCCCATCATGATTACCATGGTATATCGGTACTAAAATAGTAGAGCCATATCAAAAATGTACAGTTGTACGACATAATTTTATCAGTGTATGCCAAGCAGCGCAGTTCAGGCAGTGACATACTGCCTGATGAGATTGTTTTGTAACACATTTAATGATAGTTTCCTTCTTTAATTTATGTATAAATAAAATCCAGATGGGTTGCTTAACTAAAGTCATTTGCGTGCTTTGTATGGCAGAATTTAATTATGATCAACACTAAGCAATATGATGATCATCAGATGACAACAGAGAATTTTTTTTACATATTCTGCTGTTCAAAAGTTTGGGGTTATTAAGATAAATAAGATATGTTTTTTGTTTTGAAGAAGAAAGTAATACTTTTATTCAGCAAGGACACTTTAAATTGATCAAAGTTGACAGTAAAGACATTTATACCGTTACATTAAAAAAAACAACGTTCTATTCATCAAAGATACTGGAAAAATGTGTCAAGGTTTCCACAAAAATATTGAGCAGCACCATTGAAGTGGTTTTGAACAATATATAATAATAATAATAATAATAAGAAGAAGAAATAATGTTTCTTGAGCACCAAATCAGCATATTAGAATGATTTCTGAAGGATCATGTGACACTGGAGTAAACTTTCACATCACAAGAATAGATTACATTTTCAAATATATTAAAGTAAAAATCAGTAAATATTTTAATATTTCATAATATTACTGCTTTACTGTATTTAGCAAATAAATGCAGCCTTGGTGAGCATAAGACACTTCTTTTAAAAACAACAAAATCGTACTGACATCTTTAAAACCCCTTAACTGTCACCGTCCCACCTGTGGGACGTTTGGCGCTCTTTTTTTTGTTGTCTTTTATCTCTATCAAATCTTTTAGTAATCATCATAAATCATATATCATTTGAAAGCTTAGAAGCCCAAGATTCATCCTGTGAAAACCATTTCGAAATCAGACATTGCATTACCATGGAAATGGTACTTTAAAATATTTTAGCGGTCTCCTCCCCCTTAGTGGGCAGTGTCAAGTGTCATATTACAAAATTAATTACGGTCTTTTAAAATCAAAACTTTTTATAATCTTGACAAAAACATATAATTGGAAAGGTCTGAGTCTCAGGATTCCATATTGGTGGTTATTTTGAGATAGAAGTAATATTGACAGAGAAATCTAGACATTTGTGACAGAAAAATGCATAAAAAAAAATTCAGTTGAGTTTGGATGGCACCCGGTGGCTGTTTGTGGTATAACGCCCTAAATAAAATCACACAGGAACCTCCATTTTTTTCATATCAACTTCAAATTTGGAACATAACTTATTTAGACATAAGGCTATAATTTTATACCAATTTTAGAGTAAAACCTGATATGTAAAATATTTATTATATATAAAATAAAATTAATAGTGCATTTTCTTTACAGTAAATTTAAACTACTATAACTTTTTGATACTTAAAATTCTGCTATTAATTTGCTGATTTTCTTCTTTAAAAAGAGACCAACCTTATGTCTGTATTCCAAAGTGTTCATAAATTACAACAATTTAAGTTTGGATAGTGCACCTGCATGCCTATTTTAAAAAATGGGGGGTGACAGTTAAAGGGTTAATACCCTGACACTTCTACTGATGTAATTCTTGCAGTAAATGAAAAATATAGCAATTTTTTCAGGAAACAAGATTAATCTTTACAAATCTCAAGCTTTGTATATGCATATGCTTCCTCTGAAGCCATTTCAAAGTCACCCTTCGTCTAGCACTTTCTGGATTTCAATATTTGGGAATTAATACTCCTAATTTGGAAGACCTCTTTAAAGCCAATCATCCCCGTTTAATCATGGAAATTAATCAGAATTTATCCGATCGGCCGATTCTTCCAAATTTTGGCAGGATCAATGTTGTAATGTAAGAATGAATAGCAAAAATAAGGCATATAAATGTAAAGTGTATGTGTAATATATATATATATATATAGCCTACATAATATAGAATGCTTTGGGATTTTTGTGGTGATTGTACAAAGTACAAATCCAGAACTGATGAAAGAGAAACAAGCGAGTACAAGATCACAATATATTTTAATAACTGTACACAGTATTATCACACTTGTCCTAGATACCCATATAATAATCACCAGATCCTGTTGATTCCCACCCCTAGAGATTGATGAGGTGCTGAATCAAGCTAAAACCGGGACACACTGTCTGCAGATGGGCTTCTGATGTTCCCGAGGAAAACCAGCTCTCTGTGTGTGTCTTTTGTGTGCAAGCATCAGACTGACAAATCCGCCTTTATTCAAGCCGTGTGCGCTGCGCTGCGTGTCCCTAAAGCCTTGGGGAGCTTGGACGAGAACGCAGGAGGAAAATAGAAAACAGGGATGTGGAGTCGCAATCAGGCAAAGGAAGGGGAAGAAAGGGGGTGCTGTTGATTTGACACAGCCAAGGTAGGGCATGTAACCAGAGAAGTGACAGGAACGGGAGATCAAAGCGCGGGCTGGAGAACAACTTGGGGAAAAAGGAGGAGAAACGTCGTTTTATAAAAGAGCCGAGACCCATTTCCTGTGCAAACACACTCTTCTGAGCTATGAAACAATGTCTGGTTAAAAGGGTCTTTTTTTATGGGCACCTTTGGCCGTTTCCCCTCCCAGAACGTCAGGGCTAACCTGGCTCCCTGTGAGCTGTCAATCCCATCCCCACTCAGCTTTTATTGCCCTGTTTTGAAGCCCCGTGCAGGAAGAGGTGACAGGCTGCCTCATAATTGGACAGGAATGTGCGCGCTACGGATCACAGGCCAGGTCAGTCGTGGAGATAAATCGTAGAATAAATTCATATTAATTTTCTTATCAGAATAGGGTCATCGTGTCATTTTCGGGCGTTAATATCGTCCCGTAATTAATGACGTGATGATACAGAGTTTAAGCGCGAAATGAACTCTTGATAACTCTCAGCTATAAATTCTCAGCGCAATAAAAGCTCTCCCTCTGTAGATGATTATCCCAAACTCTGGAAGCCTGTATTTCTTGCTAAAGAACTTGCTTTCAAGGAAAGGCCAAGTGCTGAGGTAAAATGTAGGTGTTGGGAGTCAAAAACAGGCTCGGAGCACCTACAGGTGGCGCCGACCCGCACATGAATCACTCTTACCCACGGTTCAAATTCAGCCTGACAGATCTGGCAGGCCAATAGGAAAAAGACATATTTTAGACAGAGTGTGTGAGTCGGGGTGCTAAGAGGAGCTGTGTTTGATTACTGGAGGTCATATGAGGCTAAAAACAACACAATGTAATGTGGGCACATAGGGGCAAAGCAAACAGCTCATAATTTAAAAGCTGTAGTCTTGAACCTGTTGGTTTAGAGGGAGGCAGACAGAGCCAACGAACAATTTGTTTCTAGAACCGCAGAACTTTTTTGGCTCTGTGCGTCCTGAATGAGTGTAAACGCTTGTCGAGGTGCAAGTGTCACATCTCTGCTGTTTTACTCTCACTTCTGCACTGTTAAATCTTAGTTTCTTTCTTTGTTTTAATACTAATTCATCAGATTTACATGAACAATGTAACAATTTTGGGACTATTTTGAATATTTTAATACACGTCGCAGTCGGTATTATACACTGTCATTGGCCAATAATATGCAGTATGTTAAACCAGTATAAGGGCTAATGCTTACACTGGCATGCAGAGCTCACTGAATTTAAATCTTAGCATTTGTGTGTCTTATGTGGGACAGTTTGCGTCCTAGACCATATTGTGGTACCTTGGACAGCAGGTAAATGTTTTTAAGGAAGCTTGCCGTTTTTATTTTATACTCGTATAATGGATTAAATTTTTTGTCACATTGTCAACTCAGAATATTATAAATTAATGCACTAACACGATATACTTCAACAAGATATCACAGAACAATTGTTGGTTGATTCTTTTTTGTGTTATATCTTGTTGAAGTATGTAGTTAGTGCATTATTTTATTATATTTTTTGTGTTCACTTCTTATTTAACAATTTTAATGACTAATCGTTATTGGTGTCAGGTTATGAAATGTGTCCAGTGTTCTAGAACCACTACCACAGAAATTGATACATTTTATTATTTATTTTTCATAACATGTATGTGAGAAAATAAATGACTGTTTTTATTTCTCAAAAAAAAAAAAAGTTTTCAGGAATAATAGTTTGTACAGCAGAAGTAAGAGCTGAAAAAATATACTGCTATTATTTCATATGCACATTTATAACCCCCCCCCCTTTTTTTTGTGTGTAAAACTATGGCATACAATATAAAATGTTACTCATGTGTGGCTAATTTCTTCTGCCTGATGCATCAAACTAAAAAAATCACTAGTAATTCTTGGTATTTAAAAGCCAGCTAGATAATGATTTTCGTATATACATATAATGATATATGTATGTATATGTGTGTTTATATTATTAAATTATAAAATATATAATATATAGTATATTTAAACTAAGTAGACTATATAGTATACTACATACTTTATACTATATATATATATATATATATATATATATATATATATAAGGTAGAAGAAACTAAGTAGACTATATAGTATACTACATACTTTATACTATATATATATATATATATATATATATATATATATAAAGGGTAGAAGGCCATCTAGTGCCTCTTAGAGGTAACATGTTAACAGAAACAGAGGTAACACGATCAACAGAATTTATGCTCGCTTGATTCACATCTTTCTTCAGCAATGGAGCCGACGGACGTCCTGCCACTGCCTACGGCTTTCGTCCTGACGAGCCGTTCTTCCACGGCTACGGATCCACCAGATAGAGCTGCTGCATAACACCATCTCACCGCTCACTACAAGACCACTTTTATCTCCTAGAAAACTCAAACCAACCAATCTCTTCCAGAAAATGTGAGCCCACCCTTGGATTTAAAGGCAGGTTTAATAGCGAGACCCCAGTAAAATGCTTGGTGATGCTTTATAATAACTTTTAATTATTCATTAACAAAAAGATCAGTAGTTCATGTACATTCAAATATGTAAAATGTAATTTTATATTCAAATGTTTATATAAGTTATAAATGGACTTTTCTCATTGTTTGAATGTATGCAAATATGTTGTTAGGCATTGTGTAATCATGCTTAACAGATTATTTGTGTACATTACATTATCTTATATAATGTATTATTATTTATGAAGGATATTATGAAGTGCTGTAGTCCAGTTGACTTAATTTGGGTTTAAGATGTCTTAATCTTGTGTAAAACAACTGACTTACTAATGTCGAAAGTTTCAAAATAGTCTTTTATTTATACATTTTATTTTTTATTTTTTTTAGGTTTTAGGGAGTGCACTTTAATAGTATACAGTATATTCATTGAACTGGAATGAATCTGTTCTCATCTTCATATCCACTAAATAATATTCAGCTAAAATGTTACTGATTGACTGATTTATCCTGTTCTCATTAACCAGAATTGACTGCATAAATGCATAAACTGCATTAACAGCTTCATAATGTAGCATCACTCACTTTATTCAAAATAACTTGCACTATTTGTCATATATAACAAAACTATATACTGTGTCTGTTAGCTTATATGAGGCATTATTCCTCTAAGAGATATTTATGAATTAACTACCTAATAATGTCCAGGGTTCATTGCTGTGAAAATGGTTGAGTCTTATAACACTTTAAGTAAAGTGCTAAATGCTGCCTCTGCTACTATTTTATGCTGTTGCTTTAATTTGGTTATGTTTCTGATTGAGATGTAGCATGTGTCTGTTCAATTTTAAGTTGTATTTATAGAGTACTGTAATTTTAATTTATCACAATGAATTCAGGACCGCTCTGTATTTCCAGACACAAAATGTGCCTCCTAACATCTTGGCCTTTGCTGCTATAATGATCCTGTGAGTTTGACAGATTCATGTGAATTGACCTTAACTGCGAACAGAAGAAATAAAACAATGCACTGATGAATTGTCTCTGTTTTGTGGAAATTTATTTAATTGACTCTTACTGTGATAATCATATGTACAAAGGCACGGTGTCTCATTTTCAGAAAATCTACAGCATGGTACAAAATAGTTTAGTGATCAACACAATCTCCTGTTATTTACTAAAAAGAATGAGTTGTCTGTACAAACCAGCACAATGTATTAATAAATTAGTCAGTCCACCAAAAACATTTGTGTACCATCTAAAAATGTAGAGTTTCTATTTTTTTTCTCACATTAAAAAAAAAAACTCTTTCAACATTAAGTATTGAAAAAAACTGTGCAACTACAAACAGCCATCTATCTATCTCTCTATATCTATCTATCTATCTTTATATGTGTATGTATATAGTTAAGTGTTACAAAAAGAATTCTGTTTACATAGGCACTTGGTTTCTATGCAAGTCAAATTATTTTTTTTAAATTCAATTTAATGTCGATATTTAGATTATAACTGAAAATAGAAAATGTATGAAAAAATGTAACTAAAAAATAGAAAAATGGAAACACTAGTTGGTTTTGTTAGCAGAGCTGAATAGTTGATAAAAACACATCAGAACATCATTCAGACCGTTTTAAGGCTGGTTTTCAGCACAAGGTCTCACTACATCCTCTACCTCGATGACCTCCATGATGAGATCTCTGATAGCCTGCACACAGTCCGCGGTCTCTTCCTGGGAATCTGTGCTCACAGCGCTTATCTGGTCCTCCGGATCTGATGTTAAAGCAACAGCGCCCCCTACCAGACCATCAGGAACCGAGTCAAGAGGAGGAGAAGCATCCACGGCAGGACTCTCTTGTGTTTCATTTCTATTCTCATCACTAGAAGGCGCTGCCTCACATGCCTTGTTATCCACAACAACGTGCTCATCAGAAACGCTGGCATCCACAGCAGTGTCTTCAACACATACATCTGGGAGAACTTCAGCGTTGATTGTCAGGTTAACTTCAGGTTGGACGATATGTTCAGATTCCTCTTTGATTTCAGACTTAGGAGGACTTACACTTTCTTCATCTGCTTCCACATTTAGGGTTTCAGAGGCAATAACGAGAGGAACAGGAGTTTCTTCAGCTGTTGAGTTGAGATAGACTGCTCGGTCTGTACTAACAGAAGATCCTTCTGTAACTTCATCCTTTGCTTTAGAAGAAGGTGTCTCTGGTTGTGGAGATGAATCTTCTGCAGATAAGATGGTTTCTGGTTTGGTTGAGGACACTTCAGTCTCTGAGACCTCTGGAATGGGTGATGAATTATTAGGTAACGTTGGTTGAGTTGTTTCAGAAACATTTAATGGTGATGTAGGTTCTGGAGAAGATAGTGTAATCTTCACTGTAGGAATGACTGGAGCATCGTGTGTCTCACCGACAGATCCTCTTGATGGAGAGGTGATCTTCCGCTCTACTTGTTGAGGGAAAGCCACAGAAGCCAATACCTGTGGTGGGCTGGAGGGGGCAGAGAGGGGCGGCGTGCGGCTGTCAGCCAGGCTGCTTTGACTAACACATTGCAGGTCAGTACTGTCAGCAAACAGGTTGTTCTTCTTCAGACTGGCTGCCTCCTTTACCACTGTACGGCAAAAATATTGAGGAATAAGTTGATGTTGGTATTTTGAAGTTATTCATATGACTCGGACACTGAAAACAGTTCAAACTGTTTACCTTTGTTAACTTCATTATTCAAAAGGTTGAGCAGTATGTTCTCGTAGACATTCTCCACTTGAACAAAGTTTGTGTAATCAGCAAAGATGAACTGTTCAAAATTCTGAAGCTCCTGCAAAAAGAGAAACAGAATTCAATGAACGTTTCACACAAAACTACCCCTAACTGAAGGTGGTGACTAATCACCACTGTACTGTATTTGTGCAAGAAGATCAAACAAAATCATGACAGCCTGACCATTACCAAATACATTAATTGGCACAAACACATTGTATTACTGTCAGCAAGGACAGAAACCCAAACGCGGACAGAATTCCACATTACAGTAGCCTGAAAGAATTTCCTGATAGTGTTTACAGTGCTGTAAAATTTACTTATTGTATTATTGACTGATTGACTCTAATGAACTGGCTCTTTTTAGTGAATCAAACACATACACCCTGTTGAAAAAACCAGCGTATGTTTTGAAGCATGGCTGCTGGTTTGAGCTGGTACTTAGCTAGTCATGAGCTGGTTCTAAGCAACTAGATCCTGCTCAGGACCAGCTTAGGACCAGCACATGACCAGCTAAGGACCAGCTTAAACCAGCAGCCATGCTTCAAAACATACCTAACCAGAATATGCTGTTTTTTTCAGCAGGGCAGTGCTGCCGTCAAAGTCCAATTCCTGAACAAACGGCTAATGAGTCGGTTCTTCTTAGTGAATCAAACACATACAGCACTGCCAGTGAAGTCCAATTCCTGAACAAAAGGCTCAAATGTGTTGGTTGTTTTTAGTGAAACAAACCCATAAAACAAAGCCAGTACAGTCTGATACCTGAATGAATGACTCTAAACATATAGTTCTTTTTAGTAAATCTAAAGATATACATTGTTTTGTCAGTAGTATTTTACAAATAATGAATATATTTCCATATTTTTGTTCAGTATTTTTGCTTAGGATATAGTTAAAAGGATAGTTCACCCAAAAAGGAAAATTCTGTCATTAATTACTCACCCTCATGTCGTTCCAAACCTGTAAGATCTTCGTTCATCTTCGGAACATAAATTAATATATTTTTGATGAAATCTGAGAGCTTTCTGACCCTGCATAGACAACAATGCAACTACCACATTCAAGGCCCAAAAAGGTAGTAAGGAGAACATTGATAAAATAGTCCATGTGACATCAGTGGTTCAACTGTAATGTTATGAAGCTACGAGAATACTTTTTGTGCACAAAGAAAACAAAAATAACAACTTCATTCAACAATTTATTCTCTTTCTGGGCCTTGAACATGGAAGTTGTGTTGCTGTCTATGCAGGGTCAGAAAGCTGTCAGATTTAATCAAAAATGTAACACTTAATTTGTGTTCCGAAGATGAACGAAGGTCTTACGGGTTTGGAATGACATGAGGTGGAGTAATTAATGACAGAATTTGCATTTCGGAGTGAACTATCCCTTTAGTATTTGTATTCTATGTCACCTCTAAAAAGTTTAACAGACTTGTTTTAAATGTATTTATTATAGAAATAATGTCATCAACTGGCAACGATTTTTTTTTTTTCAAATATTAATCTCTTAAGGAAACCATTAATAGTTCATGAATTAACATGAATCAAAATCTGAACCAGAATTATTAAATACTTTACCATTTCCATTCCATTCATTTAATCAGAGAAACAGAGCTTGCTAGAATAACTCTACATAATGTATTCTGGTAAATGTTCAAGAGTAATTTCAATAATAAAAAAAAACACTTGCGTACAGTTTTGCAGGAAGGTGCCAGGTTTCTCTTGATGGCTGGCAGAGTGATGTCAACCAGGGCCTCTTGGAAAATCTTCTTCCTTACTGTGCTGCTGTCATAGTCAAATTGCTAAAGTGGAAAGCAAAAGTTTCCATAATGATTATGTCACATTTATTAGAATCATTCTATTGTCAAAACGGTGTAATGCTGATTGTATACACTTTATAAATGTGGGCAAAGCCAACCTTGAGGACACGCAGCTTGGCTTTTTCCATGACTGAGGCCTGTTTGTCAGGTTTGTCCTTTAAGGCAGACTGAAACAGGAGCTCAAATGTGTACACGGCATTCTCCATCAACTAAAAAGAGTGGAAGAAATAACAGGCATGCCACAGTTCATTTATTTTTCCATGACCTGTAGAGGGAACCAAAGTTCATGACAAGATGAGGCAATGCTCTCCATTGACTTCATTTTTGGTGGAGCAGTCTATATGACAATATGATTCCAGTAGTTGTTTATATCAACTACTAAGGTCTGAAAAAAGATTTGAAAAGATTTATGCAATTACACTTGAGTCAGAAGGCCAGATGAAGTATTTCATTACACAAACATAAAACATCTAAAAGCCCCACCAAGTCTAACAACGCCCAGTCACTCTAAAAGCTGCAGATGACGCCCACCTGCTGCATTTGATTCTGGGTGCCGTGAACTACTTGTGTCGAGTTGGAGAACTTGAAGCGGTTGCGAAGTTCCTGGAGCTGTTCCTTCAGGACGTTCACATGCTGGTAACAGTCCTCCATCCGGTCACGACCCACCTGCTGCAAAGCCTACGAATGGACAGGCATGATTCATGAGAACTTGAGGAGAGTCTGAGTTCAGATGATTGTTATTCCAACATGATCTAATCAAGTCCAACACTTCACTCTGCTCCCAATGGAAAAAATGACCTGATTTGCTTCAAGTGTTGTGCAATGTAGCCTTGGCTAAATGTTGAAATCAGCAGATAAATATTTATTTTAAGCACTTGTGCCAAAATGTTGTATTTTCACGTATTAGTAAATGCTCTCTTACGCTCTGAAGTTCCTCTGTGACTCCCCCCTGAGGGAAATCCTTGCAGAGTCGGGTCAGCTCGTCCTCCAGCAGCAGCCTCACGGCCTGGAAACCTGCGCTGACCGGACCCATCAGCTCCTCCAGGATTGAGGTCAGGTATGGAGCCACACTCTCGGAGCAGTATTTCACAGCTGGCTCTGATACTAGAGCTTAACACAAACAGAAAGATCAAGTCAAAATGGTGCAGAACAACAGAAGATAGATTTGGTATGTCTCACTCACTACATTTATGTGCATAAGAATATTCCAATATATTAATCAATTTGTACGCAAGTGTCATATAACCTGATTGTCTCCGTGTAATTTAAGTCAGTACTCCAGCTGAAGGTTTATTTATATTGTGCTTTATACAATACAGATTGTGTCAAAGGCAGCTTTACAGTGTTAAACAAGAAAATAGTGTCAATAATGCAAACAAAATTCAATTGTGCGGTAAAGCAGCTCTTTAAAAAAAAAAAAAAAAAAAGGAGGACAATAATAAACAGTCAATGTT